CCCCTTTTTCTGATGCTTGTTATTCCGACTTGCAGGTTAACTCATCTGAACAACAGTCATGTTACCAAATCCCTGAGTCTACCTGGTTGGTACGTACTCATGTCTGATTAAATGTGCCTCTTCTGATGTTTTCCAAACTGAGATAGTTAACCCCTTGATGTGTCTTAGTACACATTCTGTCCCAGGTATACCTGTATAATGGGAAAAAAAATACATTTTAATAGGGACCCGGGACTACAAAGGTAAAAGAAGGACTGTGCCTGTCTTTATCCTACTCCTGGTCAGAACTGGCTTCGTCAACTCAACACCCATAGGCACATCAGCCTTTATCATGAGACGAAAGCTTTAATGAACTAAGCAGACATGTTGATCAGGACTTAGAGGAATTAAGAGTTTCCATTTCTGAATTAGAACAACAGATTCCCTTGTGGAAGTAGTCCTACAAAATCAGAGAGGTTTAAACTTAATTCTCATGAAACAGGGAAGGATTTCAGGAGGTTTTTATTAGCATTAACATGGTTTTTTATGCGAATAGATTAAGAGTAATTAAAAGAAAATTTTGCCATGGTTGGGGAAAACATCAAAGAGAGAGGAGGAGAGGTCAGATAATTGGTACCAATCTCTCTTTCTGGGACCCCCTGGTTAACTAACTACTCTGCTATTAGCACTGACTGGCCTTTAATTCTCATTCTGATTGGATTAACGGTGGGGTCCTGTATCTTAAACAGGATGATCAATTACATAAAACAAAGGATTAATTCAGTCAAATCAATGGTTCTTAGAACCAACTACTCCTCTTTGGAGCAGGATGAGTCCTTAGGATCACCCTAAACTAGTCCTAGAGAAGGATTAGCCATGCACTTAGCCCATTGGTGAATATGACAGGGTTAAAGATTCAAGCAAACAGCATTGCTTTCTGAGCCAGGGAAGCTGTCAGTAGGGAGAATTCTTTTCCTTGCCATTCAGCACAATCAGAAAGTGGAACGTTCCAGTAAGCTGTGCAAATGGACCACCATGACATGGGATCCATGTTGTCGAACTTTGTAATCTTATCCTTCATTAACTATTCAGCAGAGGAATTTGACCGCTTCCTTCTCTCAGCATCCTCTTCTTCCTCCACACTCTTCCTCCGGCCCCTCAACTGTGCTGCTCCAACGTTTTGTCCATCTCTGGGAAGCACTGAGCTGACTCAAAGTCACCTTTCTTCCTGTAGGGAACAGAGTGACAGAGATTTCCAGACTTGCCACTGGGGGCATCCACCTTTGACAGTTTGCTATTGTTTGAGTCAGGGCTCTCTTTAGGAGGTGCAGGCACTGACCTGTATGTGGCCCATTGATTGAGATGGGCATCCCACTGGGGTTCCAGGCTGTTCCACAATGGCTGCTGTGCACCTGGCTGTCGGGAAGAGGGCGGGGTGCTCATGGAATCCTGCCAGGAAGAGCAAGGCACAGGGCAAGCGGCCTGGGAGCTGTCTGGCTCCAGACAGACCAACCAACTGGCATCTAGGAAACAGATTGTCCTCATGGTAGTGGCAGTATCTCATCTGGTTGTTACTTAGGGACCCATCCAGGTCGGTGGACCTCTATAAATATCAAAGCATGGCAGACTTCCTGCGTTTGACTGAATTCAAGCATTTGTATGACAAAAGAGATTGGCAACTGACAGGGGCTATGAAATGGAAACCGTGGTGACATTTTATACTATTAAAATGCTACTTGTGATGGAGGAGATAGAACGGCTGGTGCTCTCGCTATATTATCTCATTTTCTCGCTTTTTTATTTTTATTGTGTATGTTTGACATACTTCTAACATGCTCTTGATCTAACAGAACCATCCTCCACCCCTCTTTCTGGGCCAGAGCACCTAAACCCCATTTCTTTGTGTGTGGGAGAATCCGAATGAAACACATTATTAGTAACTATAGTGTTCATTCACTCGATCTCTGGACCCATCTTATGTATCTGCAGACTGTCACAGCAACCAGGTTATAAAAACAGCCAAAACATCTGCTGGTCAGTGAGCAGAAGAAGAAACTGTTCTGGGTACACAGTGGGTTATTATTCCATCTCAGAATAGAAGATCCTGTCACTTGCTACAACATACACAGCCTTGGGGACATCATGCTAAGACAGATTGAAAGGTATCTCATAATCACACTTCTGTGTGGAATTTTAAAGTTGAATCTACAGAGATGGAAAATGAACTACGGTGGGAAGAGAAGCAGAAGTAGGGAGAGAGATGTGTTGTTGCTATGGTTTGATTAGGAAGTGCTGCCCCAAAGGGTTCATGGATGGAAGGAAGGCTTAGTTCTCATTGCAGCAGTTTTGAGAGCAGAGGCTTGGGAAGGGTGTAAGGTCTCAGGGGCTATGACATCATAGAAAGGTTAATCCACTCCTATCTTTGTAATCTGATGACATTTTGAGGAAATAGCACAATTAGGAGGTGGGGCTGAGTTGGAGGGAGCAGAGCATTTGAAATGTGTCTTGTTCACTGAATGATCTTTTCTATGCTTCCTGGCCGCTCTGGGTGAGATTGCTTCCTCTCTATACATCCTGATGCCTAGATGTTTAGTCTCACCTCGGGACCAAAGAGGTAGCACCAGTTGACCATGGGTTTTTGTGACTGTGAGCCAAAATATATTTTTTTCCTTCCTTAAGTTGCTTCTCTTGGTTGTTTCATCATGGCGTTGAGATTCTAACCATGATGGTTAGTTTTAACCGTCAGAGTGTCTGAATGAGGGGTTCTCTAGATTAGGTTGGTTTGTGGGCTTGTCTCTGGGGATTATCTCAATTGTTCTAATTGACTTGGGAAGGCCCAGCCTGAAAGTGGGATGCGCCATTCCCTGGTTTGGGGCCCTGAACAGTATAATAGCAGAGAAAGCTAGCTGAGCATGAAGCATGCTTGTAGTCCCCTCTTCTTTCAAGTGCGGCTGTGGTGTGAGCAGCTGTTGAAGTCTGACTGTCTCTGTGTGTGCATGAGTATGCTTGAACATGCCTCTCTGTGTGTGCCTGTGTGTGTGTGTGCATACCATGAGGTTACATGTGGAGTCAGAGCATGTGGGAGTTGGTCTCAGTGCTCTCCCTCTTCTTCCTGGAGTTGAACTCAGGTTGTTGGGCTCCAGTGCAAGAAAGAGCCATTACCAAAGGTTCCCCCTAAGTCCGGCCTGTGAGAAGAATCCAGCAGAGAGGAGTGCACAAAGAGGGTGAGCATGTGGAGCAAGGTAGTTTTATGCCCTTCGTGAGCAAAAGGTGAGGCTGCAGGTGATGTTCCGGAAAGGAGGTGCTGTCTTTAAAAGCTCGTCACACATTTTCTTGATCCAGGCAGTGCAAACGTGATCACTAGTCACCGGCATCATCTCCTAAGGAAGGCTGAATTTCTCCGTCATGGGCTCTTCTGAGAAAAGCTGCAGCTGGCCTTGCCCACTATGGGCTCCTCCACACTGTGTCCCGGTGAAGGCAGAGACAGAGTCAAGGGGAGATGCAGCTCTGCGGCTTTTTGAGGGGGAGCACGGGACTTGCGGCTGAGCTGTTTAGACCTCAGACAACTCTCTTCCAGGGCTCCCCTTTTTCCTGTGTACTGATGCTCACTATAGATGATGGTTGAAACCACACTTCCCACCCCAGAAAGCTACAAATACTAACTGTATCACTTCACTGGAAAATACTTCATCTTCCCTAAATCCCTCTGCAACGGGGAGGCTTAAATAGCTTCACCCACAAGGAACTCTGCCCCCAGCCTGCCTAGGAGAACACAGGCCGAGAGAGGGTGCCCCATACAGTGGTTTCAGATACAGTGCTCTATACTCACTTAAAATAAACGGCTACTTTAGAGCAGGGTATAAACTTTTAAACATGTTTTTCTTTGTATCTGATGAGGCTAGAAATGCTTTCTGTTTCAGAAATAAAAGAAAGCAAACCCAATAAATAGCAAAAATAAAGGGTGTGGATATAGGCAATAATACTTCACACATACTCTCTAGTCCCCAACTCCTCTAGTATCCTAACCCATACCCAAAGAAATACCTGCACTGGAGCCATTCAGGATTCAGTTCTCAGATCCTTGCCTGGGGGAGAATAAACTCTAGAGAGAAACCAATGTGGCAGTGAAAGGTGTGGCTGGAACTGTGAAAACTGGGGGGGAAGGTCCCTGGGGAGCTGATAACTCAGTGTTCTCGAGAAGTAATTTGTTTGGTTGGGTTGTCCCGAGTTAAAATGCACTCAGGAGAAATGACTCTTCCCCAGTGGATGTAATCACCCATCTGCTCACTGACGCATTTGCGCTGAAAGTCATGATCCAGATACCTGAATCCTCCAACCCTCAAAGGCCTGCTATCGGGTGACCACCGTGAGGTCCTCTTACGCAGGGCCAGCCTCCCCCAGGACTCTCGGATGCCTGCTCAGTGCCCGGTTTATCAGGGCATCTGCCTGTTCCTGCCAAGGGTCCTGGTCGTGTCCACCCTGGCCTACAAGGGGGGCTGGATCTCACCCGGAACAACACCTGGGTTTAGGTAGAGAGTACCGCTGAAAGAGTACGATTTTGTTTCGGAGCTACAGATTCAGCACCAGGGCCAGCTCAGCTTCGGCGGAACAGTAAAAACTTTGTGAAGATCAAGCATAGCCAGATGAAACCTCTCTTGAGGACGGAAAACTCAAAGGAAAGACAGCGACTCGGCAGGTAGAATGTTCCCTCCAACTGAAGCTTTCCATGGAAAAGCATAGGACATATTTGCAGCAACTGATTCGAAAGGCCTGCCCGGACACTCTCTCCTGGAGCCGGGAACCCCTCTTCATGCCGTCTTGGTTGTTCCATCTAAGAGTCCCCAATGAGAGAGGTGCAGCTTGCCCGTCGGATACAGCTGTTTCTCACCAGAATTGTGAGAACTGAGCCTTCTGGGAGACAGGTGGCGCAGGGCCCGGATATGGGCTCCTCTGCCTGCAGCTGGATCAAGTGACACCCCCGTGCGGTCGGCCAACAGTTCCCACGGAGGGAAACGGAGACTATGTTCAGAAAGATCCATTCCATCCTCCACCACGGCCCTCAGGGGAAGGCGGCAGCCGAGGGTCCCTACTATGCAGGAACCAACCCCAATGTCAGGCTGATTCGTAGTAGCTCCATGTACGTGATTGGGGACCATTTCGAGAAGGCTGGCGAGTCCTTGAAGAAGTACAGAAGCACCCACAGCATGGACACCAGCCTGCATTACCTGCAGCAGGAGGACCGTGCCTGGATGTACTCCCGCACCCAGGACTGCCTGCAATATCTTCAGGAGCTGCTGGCCCTGCGAAAGAAATACCTCAGCAGCCTGGGTGACCTGAGGCCCCGGCAAGCACAGGGCGCTGGGTCCACCTCCTCCAAGTCCTCCAGGGGAGCACAAAAGACCCCAGCAGAAGGCAAAGTAAGTGTGGAATAGGCTGGCTGCAAGCCATGGCTCTTCCCAGTCTTGGGACACTTGCTGGAAGTCCTCCCTCTTGAGTGGCTCTGACAGGTTCTATTATGGCCTTCAGTCCCCACACCTCCCTGACTCCTGAGGAGATAGGGGGACCGGATCCAGAGCAGGGGACAAGGGCAGGGGCTTCAGAGCCACCAGGTTCCACACCGGTGTCTGAACATATTACTTATTGTCTGACTTGAGGAGGGGGGTGGGGGGGTGGGGGGGGTGGGGTGGAGGCAATGCTTGCATGGCTTTGGGAAACAGCAAGGAATTTCCCACAAATGCTTTACTCTCCTTAAAACAATTGCCGCTGTCACATGCGAAAGGCCTGGAACCAGACACAAGCGTGTCATCCGTGAAAGAAACCTTGTGTGTTTGCCTCACTGTTGGTGCTCACTTCAAGGCTTTGCAGATATTACCTTCCTCGTCTTTCCTAGCACGGGAATATGCCAGACCTGTTTCAGAAGGGCAAACTGAGGTGCAGGGACACATCTCTGTCCACTGGGCCAATGACTTCCTTATTCCTTTCCTTGGCATATTTCATCTTATGTCAAGGGTTTCTCTAAGTAGCCTAGGATGGCCCTGAGCTGGCAGTCTTCCCACCTGGGCCCCCTGAGTGTGCCGCCAGGCCACCCTGTCATCACGCTGCCATTTTCCGTTGTTTCCCATTATTTATTGTACCCGGAGTTTGAATGTCACCTGTTGAATATTTCTAATGAACGTTTTACTGATGACCAGACTAAGTGTCTAGAGCAGACCCGACTCCCTCCCCAGAGAGTCCTGCGGGCTCCCCAAGGTCCATTAATGTTGAATGGCTGATTGGACTGTTATCAAATTTCTAGGGCCTGGCTTAGCTAACAGGTTTCAATTGTTTGCACTTAGTACCAGGTGGAAATGGGTTAAATAATCCTTTTACCTGTAAAAGTGTGTCAGTGTTGAGCCCCGAAGAGGGCCTCCTAGTCTGGGGTCAAGATGCTGAAACCCATACCAGTTAGCTATGGGGTTTGAGCCAGTTTCTTCTACTGAAACTGGCACTGGGGATGAAGAGGGCTCTGGGCTTCCTGCCAGCCTGAGTCTCCTGGGATTCTGGGTCTTGCTTAGCTGCTGGCAGAGAACAGCTCTGTATTTGCCTGCAGATGGAGCCCTCCCTTTTAGGACACAGCTGGCTTCTGACAGTGCTGAGGATGGGGGATGGGCACACAAAAGCGGCTCCCCGCGGAGCATGACATGGCCACATGCCAGGTGTGACCACTGCAGGCTATCTGGCAGCTCCGTTCAGAAACTACTCTTTTCCCTGGATTTCAGAAGAAATTTAGGAGCAGCCATTGGTAAAGAAAAATGGATTTATTTACAGTTTGACCAGAACTAGAGGGAGAAAATTCTTAGATGTAAGAAGGAATTTTCTCCCTTTCCTGGAATCGCGTTTCAATTTTATAGAAAAGACAACATCACAGTTTTATAGAAAGAAATGTGTATGCTGATTTAGCTGCGAGAGAGGCTGTCTGAGTCCTGCGACATCCCTTCCAGGGAGGCAAGCTCCTCCTCCTGGTGCCAGGGTTTCTGCCTATTTTCTCTGTTGGCACTGGGCAATAGTTGCTCTTCGGGCCATTGTTTCAGGGTCTTTTACATTCGAAGGGTGAATATTGAAAGGGTGCTGAGGGAGAACAGACCAAAGTTTGATTTTTTTCTGCTCCCCTCACTTTGCTGGGTCTGTTTTAGTGGCCAAGCCTTGGACGTGGTGCCATGCCTAGGGAGGAGTAGTGCCACCCTACAGGTGCTGGTACCCAGTCAACCTGCTACACCCATGTTTATTACCACAGAAATGCCAGGAACGTCCAGCCAGCAACCACAGACCAACTGCTGGCATCCTTTGCCCTCAGCCTACAGAAAGTCATCTGCTGGGCATTCAGTCTCCAGGGCCAGCAGGGTAGCCTCCATGAGAGCTCTTTCCTCCCGAAACGCCATCGTGGTCCTGCCAGTAGTCAAGAATTAGGCCTGCACTATTCTTTTTCCTGTTCTCCATTATGGGTTGACTTAGATGCTGTCTCTCAAAATTCACATGTTGAAGATCTCGTCCTAGCACCACAGAAGGAGATCAGATTTGGAAATAGTGCAACCGGAAGGTTTAGAGCAAAGCCCAGGCTCAGGAGGCTCCAACAAATTCCAGTTCAGGAGAAGAGCAGCCGTGAAAGGCAGAGAAAGGAGATGTAGTGAACGTGGCCACATCGTGCAGAAGCTCAAATAAAGGAGTCCAGTGGTTCCCAGAGTTTTAGAGCAAAACCCGAGCTCTGTAAGGCATAATGCGCAGTCTACCCCGATACAGCAGTTAAAGAGATGGGACTAGTGAGAAGGGGAGGAAGGGGAAGCAACTAACTCGGCTGCAGTGGGGAGAGGAGAAAAATTATTCATCTTCAGGACACTGACGTGAATTCAGGCTTAATACTGGACAAGCAGGATGTATAGGAAAACAGTCCTGGCCGTGGTGTGCTCCCCCTCATTAATGACCCATCACCAGCTTGCCTCTGGTTTGTCCTGCAGGGCGGTCTTGAAAAGTTGTTAGCATCACAGGACATCTCTTTCCTGGAGGCAAGTTTCTTCTCTGGAAGCAGGGTTTCAGTCTTTCCCTACGGCAAGCGTGAGATGCCTAGCGGAATTTAAATTCTCCCGTGTGTGTGTGTGTGTGTGTGTGTGTGTGTGTGTGTGTGTGTGTGGTGTATGTGTGCATGCGTGTGTGTGTGTATGCATGTGCATGCACGTAAGAGGTCAATTTCAGACTTATTGCTCATGAGTTATCTACTTTGGATTTAGGGACAGCATTTATCTCTGAGATCTGTAGCTCACAAATTAGGCTAGGCTGGCTTGCCTGCAAATCCCTGGAACCCACCTCCCAGGCACTGGTGTTGTAAGAGCACTTTTTAGGTGAGTGGTGGGAACTGAACTCAAGTCCTTATGCTTGTGTGGCAAGCACTCTATTGATTGATGTAGTTTCTTAGCCTTGAGATAGTTTTTATTTCTCAGGGAACCATTGTTTGAGCAATTGGATGGCACAAATCTGTCTAAAATGTCTTCGCTACTGTCCAGACCCTTCTCTTCTTTGCTTCAGACCTCAGATTTGAGGTATTTGCGGTGATATGCTGGGTTTGTGAAAATCTCTGAAATGCTTTTATTGTTGAAACAAATATCACAAGCAGCATTGGAGTGGCCAAGGTCAGAGCACATGCAACCATGCATAAGGCCACAATGCTGTAACTTCTCAGCTCAAGTCACTTTTGGAAAGCCTGGCATAAGTGAGTTCATTCCTGTTGGTTTTGAAACAAATCCTGTTGATAGAGATCCCACATCCATTTAGTCCCAAAGAAATACACAGAGGTCTACATTAATTATATACTGGTTGGCCTGTTAGTTCAGGCTTCTTATTAACTCTTATAGCTTATATTAGCCTATAATTTTTGCCTGTGTTAACCACATGGCTTGGTACCTTTTTCAGTGAGGCAGTCACATCATGCTTCCTCTGTGTTTGAATGATTACTGCAGACTGAATCTTTCTTCTTTCCAGAATTCTCTTGTTCTCATTGCCCTGCCTCTTCTTCCTGCCTAGTCGCCTGCCTAAACTTCCTGTCTGGCTACTGGCCAATCAGCATTTTATTAAAATACAAGTGACAGGGTACAGACCATTGTTCCACAGCACTACCCCCCCTTTTCAAAACAAGAACTCTGAATTGAATCTCCTTTGTTTAGCTTTTCTTCTGACCATTATCCATAATCATATGTAACCAATATTCTAAAAAAAGGCAAATATCCATAATCCAATTTTCAGAATGTGGATATAGTTTTCCAGGCTACTTCCTATTGATTGGGGGCACTGATAATCTTATGGGGACCTAAAGAAAATTTTGAATTATGGTCAAGTTCTGAATGGAATATTCTGTGAAGCTTGATCATCTCAGCCAGTCTTGAAACTGTTCTGGGATGTAGAACTTAGACATCTGGGCCATTTGCTCCTATCAGAGATTTCTCAGGAGGTCTTCCTTTTTCTTAGCCCAGAATGAATCAATAGCCTCTCATTTCCTGTGGAAACAAAAGCAAAATCTTTACTCCAAAGTAACATATTTTTTGACTTAAATTTCAAAGTCAAGGCATTTTCAAAATATATATGTTGAATTAATCCAACAGCATTTGAAATCAAATATCTTTTTAGCAGCTTTTGCTCCTTCCTTAGCCATCAAATAATTTAAAGACAACACAATAACATATAGTATCCAGACTCTCTGTGTATTTTTCATCTTTACATGGCTTCATTTTAAACTCTATTTCTTTTATTTATGTTTTTAATTTTTGACTTTTTGATACAGAGTTTCTTTATGTGCTGTGGGACAATGGTCTGTTCCCTGTCACTTTTATTTTAATAAAGCACTATTGGCCAGTAGCCAGGCAGGAAGTAGAGGCAGGGTGATAAGAACAGAAGAATGCTGGGAAGAGAAAAGGTCAGTCTGCAGCCAGTTACTGAGACACAGAGCAAGTGCACCTTTTATAGCTGCATTTATAGTATAAGAGACCATGCCCAGGTAGGCTGGTATCTTAAAGGCTATTGGCTGACGGAGCAGAAGGAGCTCACACAGCAAGGTTCTTCCTGTGAAACCCTGGTTGTCCTCAAACTCAAGACCCACATGCTTCAGCCTCTCAATGAAAGGCAGGAATCCCCTGCCTAGGGTGCGTTCATTTAGAGATGATAATGCCCCTTCTTACTTCTGAGCAATTTTCTTTGAATTTAATTGATGATTAGCCATCTTGTTCAATATCAGCTTTCCTTCATTACTGGGGCAAGATCTGTCCCAGATGGACTGATATGGTCCCACATCATGAGGGACAAATAAGAGAGGCTAAGGAGTTAGTGCCAATAAAGCCCTTTAAGGTAGATTTTAATCAACTAAGCAATATAGCTACAGGAATGG